CCAGGGATGGAGCATTCACAACTTCCCTGGGCAACCCCTTCCAGTGCCTCACCACCCTCACAGTAAAGAATTTCTTCCTTATATCCAATCTAAACTTCCCCTGTTTAAGTTTTAACCCATTACCCCTTGTCCTATCACTACAATCCCTAACGAAGAGTCCATCCCCAGCATCCCTATAGGCCCCTTTCAGATACTGGAAGGCTGCTATGAGGTCTCCACGCAGCCTTCTCTTCTCCAGGCTGAACAGCTCCAACTTCCTCAGCCTGTCTTCGTATGGGAGGTGCTCCAGTCCCCTGATCATCCTCGTAGCCTTTCTCTGGACTAGTTTGAACAGTTCCATGTCCTTTTTATGTTGAGGACACCAGAACTGTACACAATACTCCAAGTGAGGTCTCACAAGACATAAATGTGTATATAATAGAAAAAAGATATACATGACAATATACGGTGGTGACTTGAGCAGTTTGTGAGTTTTTTCACTTTCTTAAAGTAGTAATATGAAAGTATTTATATCAGATGTGGAAAAGTCCCTGCTGGGGAAGCAAGTTTGGGTAAAATGAAGGGTTGGGTAGGTCCCATACAGCTTGGAGAAAAGAGGTTAATTGGGCTCAGAGCAATGTAAGGGAGAAGACAGGGGAGGGGGCTAAAAAGTATCTCCATTGATGTAAAAGTATGCTTCATGTGAGTTATATAGAGATAAAAATATAAATAATATCTAGACTGAGTTAAGTTCCAATCCTTTCCTCTGAGCAAGCTGCATCAAGATGATGAAGACAGCATCAGCAAAACTGCTGGTAGCAGTGAGTGGAGATTAGCTCAAATGAGGTAAAGAAAACAGCTTTTCTTATCAGATAACTTCCTTGCTGAGGAGAGGCAGAGAGTTTGCCTTCAGTAATCTCTCATTGCTGAAGCTGTCCAAGTGCTTTTATTTCTTATGGATGAGGAACTTACCTAGAGCAAGAAATCAGGAAATAATGTTGGCAGTAAAAGGTTCAAAAAGAGATTTTAAGCTTTGAGGCTGCATTCAAGGCAATTCTTAATTCCAAAATATAAAATAATCTAGATTCAGGCACAAGTTGTCAGGCAAATAGTGAAAATGTTTCCCTTATTTATAAAATATGAAATAATACCCATTAACATTGGATATTTAGCTTTCCTATGGAGGAGGAGGAAGAAAAGTGTTAAAACAGTTTTAAAGGGGGAGAAAAAAAATTGGAAAGGAAGTTGAATTGTTTTTAAAGAGTCTTCAATTACAAATTAGGACTTTGTTTCTTATTTTTTTTTCTAGAGGTGTTATTATTATGTAGCTGTGAAGCACCCAGTTTGTCTTAAGCTTTACATCAACCTCCACGAAATGTTCAAAGGAGAGGGAAAGGAGAAACTATGGATTCCCAACTACCTTAAATTTTTGTTGACATTATAAGAACTGCAAAAGGAATATGGGCTGTTTGATTCATAACTTTTATAAAGAGAGGTAATGTTCGGGGCAAAGATTAATATTCCCAGCAAAGGTATGTTGTTTTGGTTTTATTAATGTCAGAAAATCTGAGGATTTTTTTACTTGACACCTCAACATTAGCTTTTATAATGAAGATGTATATCAGCAAGAAAAATCACATTTATGTTTGCACCCTTTGGGAACTGTGTGTGTTGAAGTATAAGAAAAGGTATTGTTTATGGTATGATCTCTCAATAGGATTCCTGCTAGGATGTTTATGACAAAGCAAGTACTTTCAGTCACCAGACTCCTATGGTCCCTGTTTTGAAGCAGAATATGTCTTTGGCATGTGTGGGGGTTCTGTTTTGTTGTTGTTTTGTTTTTTGTTTGATAGGGGTTTTTTTAAGATTATCCTTTAGGCGGGGATAAAGCAGTAAACACTATCTATTATTCTACCACTGCTCTTTGCAGCCCTGGTGGTCCATTGTGTCTTTGCAGTTTTCAAAGAAATGGCCTGTTAAGAGTGGTGGACGGCTCTTGTGCCATTGGCTTGTTCGCACTCTTACTCGGGATAACTTGGTTTAAATAGCTCTAGTTTCCTAAACAATACCATTAAGATGTTGAAAAGGATATTCTAGGTCGACATTTTGACTTTGAATCAGAAATACTCTGCTCGCAAGTTTGCTGATTTCATCTATCTTTGAGTCAGACTCTCCCTTGAGCGCTTTCATTGGAGCTTCAGTTTATTTTGTTGTTTTTCCCCTGTTGGTGCTGTCTAGTGCAGCAGGAGCTGAAGTCATGGGAAGTTTGATCATTGACTTTCAAGAGGGAAACCTCAGGATCTGAGCATTTGTGATGGAGAGGGCACTTAGCAGTACTCAAGCAAAGATCTGACTAAGTCAACGGGAGTTTTGCCACCTTCAGAAAAATGCAGGATGGCACTCTGCCTTTGCCTTGCCCCTCAAATGCTAAAGGGAGAAGGCAAAACAAATCAAAATCAACATGTTGTGCTCCATCCAGACTACTTGAAAGGGAAATGTTTTCCAAAAACATGGATGCATTGAGACCTTTGGAGAAAACCAGCCCTATTAAATACTACAGGTACAGAACCTGAAAGATACTTATTCAGAGGCATAGCACTCACAATAAATGAACCTAAAATGGACACAACCACTGTATGTTTTCTCACTTCATTGTTTCCTATGTAGGTATATGTTAGTATGTTGGGGTTACAAAATGGTTAGTTATAAAGAGCTCTTACAGAATAATCTTTAGGCTTTCTCTTGTCTAAGGCTTGTATATAACTAATATGCCAGATGGAAACAAAATCCAGAAGCTTCTTATGAAAATGACATTGGCATCCTCAGTCAATGCCCCAACCATAGTACCAGTAGGATATTCCTCCTCAGTGTCCAGGAAAAGGCAGATAATAAGTAGGGAGATATACATCTCTGTGACATATATAACGTATATGTTATATTAAATTACTCATTTTTCTTAAGGAGAAAATAAAAGAAACTAAAGAACCAAACAAAAATAACTTCGTGGGAAGGTCGGTGTTTTTTCTTCAGGGGTGGGAGGTTTTGACCTGCCAACGGTGGGGTTCATCCCCGGGTGCAGGGGATGCCGGCGCTGCTCCCCTGGGAGCTGGCCCCTGTACTACAGGCGGTCCTCGCTGCCCCTGTGTCCCCGTCCGTTCCCCCTCCCCCGAACTGCAAGTTGAAAGATAATTAAACAGCTACCTCCAATACGTAGCCATGCTCTCATTTTCGCACGTTATCCGCCGTGATTAACGCTCCACATGGCTCAGGGACTACCGGGGACTGCGAGAGCGGCCACGGGCTGGTTCCCACCTGGAAGGTGCCTGGGGATTATCCCGGGAATAAGATGCAGAATGATGTCCAGGTTTTACGAACCTGGGGTAGCAGCTGGAGGGTACTACTCGCCCGGTGCAAGAAGGAAAGTATTGCTATAAATCGGGAAACTTTATAGCTGTTCGGCAGGAGGAAGTTTTTTGGCTGTAAACTGTCATGCACGGCGGCTCTCGCTGAAAAGGCTGCGGGAGTGGGGACTCCTCTCCTGAGAACCAAGGTGCAATTAAGATCAGAAAGAGAGAGAAGGGAATAAAATAAAGACGGCAGGAATCCAAACCCAGGAAAAACTTTACCTCTAGTTGTTGTAGTTGTTGCTGTTTCCCCCCGTTCCAAAGCTTATTTATAACTTCTGGAAACTTTATCTTCTCTTTTCTTTTTTAATGGTCATTAAAAAATGCAAAGCTGGAAAGCTTTTTTCGAAGGACCAATGAAAGTTGAGTGCATACACTGCCTGGGATGAGCGGTGCGGTCAGTTCCTAAATACTAAGTAAAACGTGAAATGTGTAAAATTATATTTGACTTCAACGCTCCTCCCTTTGCCTAAAGAATCAGTGCAAAATGAGAAACCACATAGATAAGTGTCTGCGGCAGAACGGGTTGCAGTTGCTTCCCACTCCTGTGCACATCATAGATATTCCTCTTCTTTGTGTGTATACATATGTGTAGATACACATATATATGGAATTAGCCCTTACTCGAATCATCCATCCGGAAGAGTGTTTTTAAAGCTCAAATCGCCTAAATACACATTCAGATAATCTCTATTTTATTTATTCATTTTCGAACCGTTCATTTTCCACCTAAACGGTCCCGTCGCTTCCAATTCCGGCCGGTCTCGCAGCTTTCGGCTCTTAAACACGTTCACTGCCATATGGGGTGGCCCTTAGGAAGAACTGAGGTTGCGGGTTGCTTTACACGGGACCCATCACCACCAGCCACCCCCACACGCCGCGGACGGTAAAAGGGACGCGACTTCTGCAAGGGGGAACGTCCCTTCTTCGCCTTCACTTGCAGGGAGAGGGTGACTGTCCCTGCGGGCCCTTTTTGGGGATTACCTGTTTCTGCTGCCCGGCTTTTTCGGGACTAAGTTGTCTGTAGTGTCGCCGTCGGGGCACACACCCGAAGTGAGGCGGTGCTGCCGACCTACCGAGGTACAGACAGCCTGGTTGGAGTGGAGCACCTGGAGTGAAATAAATACCCGACAAGTGAAAACACCCTCTATAGCAGCTGCTACGGACCAACTCAGGAAGCTTCGCCCATAGTTTCTTTGCAACTGCTGCTTTCCCCCTCCAAACAGGAAGAAAAGCAGGCGGTAGGTGCTCAGGCAGAAAGAGCATTAGGGAACTTTATCGCAGGAATTATCCTGAAGGGGTAATAACCTTTCGCATGCTTCTGGGCAAGTGGTTGATGAGAGCCGGTGTGCGGGATGTGACATGTCAGGTTGAAGGGAAAAAAACAAAAAGTAAGTTAATGCTACAGGAGCCTGACGGTGCTGTGCAATGAAAACAGACCCGTAACTGCTACAACAAGAAGAAACCGAAATCAGGAGCGGAAACGTTGGGTTTATTTGAAGTCGGATGAAGGGGAAACGCGCTCGGGTTGCTGCTCCGCTGTGTGCGGGATGTGGAAAGGCTGGAGTGCAGGTAGGGATGCAGGCACCGATACAGGCAGGAGTGCACGAGGGAGTTGCCTGTCCGCAGAAGGAGCCGGTGCCCGGACTGAGCTGTCGCCTGCCTCCTGAATCGGGGACCCCTCCATCGCGCCTTCCCTGACAGCCCCGACCTCCAGCTCCCCTCGGCCCCAGCCAGGCTGCCAGTGAGCCTAGGGCACCTTCTCCTAAAATCTTACAAATCTCGGCAGCGACTATGCGCGGTGTTTGGAGGAGATGAGTATTTTGAAAGAAACCCTTATTTTTACACTGCGCCTCTTCTTTCCCCCTCTCCTTTGCCCCGTTTAAAGAACTTGTTATTGTTTAAAGAGACCCCATTGAACTATTTCCTGCTCATTGTCACCTCTCTCCCCCTCGCCCTCTATCCAGGGATTCTCACGGCAAGGTAATAAACTGTTTCCCTCACACCACAGACCGCCACAGCCCCGGAGAATGCAAACGATTAAACCACCGGCGGGCGGGGAGGGGTTCCAAGTGAGCCCTTCTATCCCGCACCCCACTGCTGTTTTCTCTCCAAACAACTTGCAAAGTTCCACCAGCGGGGCTCGGGCTCCACTCCTGCCGCAGAAATTCGCGGGCAGGGGGGTTCCTTGTTGTAGGAACCGGAGCCTTCAGCTGCCAGTCTTTTAGCAGAGTGGTTTCTCTGAGGCGGGGGGCTCACAGCCGCCGTGGCCGAGCCCCCTCGGGTGGAAAGGCACTGCCTGCGGTAGGAGACAGAACAGGCTCCGGTACTGGCTGGAGGCTGGGGACACGGTGGCGGGGCGTGTGTGCACATGTGTGTGTACCCTGACTGTGCCAGGCTCAGTTCACCCATTCCGCAGAGCTTTTTGGTTGCGTTTCCCAGCCGGGGTTGTAGTCGCTAACTGCAACCTTCTTTTAAGCAGAAGCTCCGGGGCTTGTGACAAGGGAGAGTGTGAAGGGGTGAGAGGCTTGGGGGGGGGGGAGAAGGGGAAGGACTCTTCCCATTTTCTCCCACAAATCTGAATCCGCTGCCACGGTGGCCCCTCGAAGCCAGACCCCGCGGCTGGCTGTGGCGGGCGCCGGTGGTCCCGGCGGTGGATGCTGCGGGAGGTGCCGCGCACAGGTTATGGGGCTGTTGCCGGGATGGGCCATTTCCTCCGCGGCTGCCGGAGCCCAGGCCCCGGCGGCTTTGATAGAGGTGCAAACATTTGGGGGCAGATTTACATAAAATAGCTGCGTTTAATCCCGCGGGCTGCAATTAACATCACAGGCTTCCCCGGGCACCGTTGTGATATGGCCGCGGGCAGCCAATCGCAAAGGTCGGCCGAAGGGATCAAAGCGGCCGTTCGCCAATCAGCGGCCCCCCCTCGGCGGCACGGTGATGTCACTGGGGGGATGTTTATGACGGGGTATAACAGCGGCCCCTTCCCTGCTCCCGCTCGCTGGGGCCGCGGAGGTCAAGTGGAGTCAGCCCCGGCCCCGCCGCTGCTCGGGGCTCAGCCAGGGCGCCTGCCCCGCCGGGCGGGCGGGCGTGGGCCGGGATGAGCTCCCCCGGGACGGAGGGTGCGGGCAAGGCCCCGCAGTACCGTGTGGATCACTTGCTGAGCGCCGTGGAGAGCGAGCTGCAGGCGGGCAGCGAGAAGGGCGACCCCACGGAGCGAGAGCTGCGGGTCACGCTGGAGGACAACGACCTGTGGCTGCGCTTCAAGGAGCTCACCAACGAGATGATCGTCACCAAGAACGGCAGGTAGGGCAGCCGCGGCACCGAGCCACCGCGGGCTTTGGGTGCGGGGGCTTGTGTGTATCCCGGCGCCGGGGCCGAGAGAAGGGGGGGGGTGCTGCCCCCCGCCGTGCCTCGCGCCTCCGTGTCGCCCCGTAGGAGGATGTTCCCGGTGCTGAAGGTGAGCGTGTCGGGGCTGGACCCCAACGCCATGTATTCCTTCCTGCTGGACTTCGTGGCGGCCGACGGGCACCGCTGGAAGTATGTGAACGGGGAGTGGGTGCCGGGCGGGAAGCCGGAGCCGCAGGCACCCAGCTGCGTGTACATCCACCCCGACTCGCCCAACTTCGGCGCGCACTGGATGAAGGCGCCCGTCTCCTTCAGTAAAGTCAAACTCACCAACAAGCTGAATGGCGGCGGGCAGGTAAGGACCCTCTCAGAGCGGCTGGACCAGCCCCAGCCCGGCCTGACCCAAGGGGCGGCGGGGTCCTGCAGAGCCACGACTACCGCCCTCCTTGGTGCTCCTTTTTATGCCGCTGCTACCAAACATGCATTCTTTCCGCCGAGGATGGGTGCCTTCGGGGTTTGACTTTGTTACATGTCTTTCCACTTTGAATAGCTGCTAATGCCAACGGAGTAGCAGACGCAACTTTCTGGCTATTTGCAGCCAACGTGTTTGTGTCTATGCAAGCTGCCTGTCAAGTAATAGGGATGAGGGTAACTAGGCACAAAGTCGGAATGTCTGACAGCAGTGTTCCCTTCCTTTTCTTACACCTTCCTTCTTAGGATTTATTTCTACCTGTTGCCTCTTTCTCCTCCACTGGAAAGGCAGATCATTAGACAGTTTAAGCCCCGATTGCTATCTGTGCTTACTGCATCTACCGCCGCTCTGTCACCTTTTACACATTCTATCCCTTTGCGCACAGATCATGTTGAACTCTCTGCACAAGTACGAGCCCAGGATCCACATAGTGCGAGTGGGTGGCCCGCAGCGGATGATCACCAGCCATTCCTTCCCAGAGACTCAGTTTATAGCCGTGACGGCCTACCAGAACGAGGAGGTAAGCACAGCAGGGAAGAGAGGATGCAAGTACCAGGGGGTTTCAAGTGACAAAGTGTACGTTACAGAGCAAAAAATAAATGGCTCGGTTTGCGTTTTTCTCTGTTTCTTCTGTGCTTTGTTTGAAGCTAAATATAAGAACTGAAGTTAATATATGTAAAAACCCTGTGAATGTATCATAGCACAAAGTTCTGATCGCTTTTTGTCTCAATGTGTACTGCAAATTCATTGCAGGAGAATAATCCTTAAGAGATTCTGTGGGCCAAACAGGTATGGCAGCAAACCCAGTTGTCACTTTCAGCTACACAGTGAAATAACTGGATGTGTCATTTTCAAAATTGGCCTTTCTCTCTTAGCCAAAATGCACATCTATGTTTAATAAATCTCTCAACTACCAGTTAGTTTTTATAACTCTTTCGTGCACTACCTTTTTTAGCTGTTTCCTCGCTGATCAATAAAAACAGGCAATTCAGTCTCTTAGAATTTGGCAGAGGGATTAATTAACTCTCTGCTAATAGTTCAGACCTTAGAGGCTGTTTAATTGATGTTCATAGGTTGGTGTTCTGGGCCTCATTCAAAAATCTGGGATTGCACTAACTTCAGTGGATAGTCCTAACTCAAATCCTAATATCTGTATGATAATGAACGGTGATACTTGCAAATAAAGATGTTTGTTGTTGTTTTTAGATAACGGCTTTAAAAATTAAATACAATCCATTTGCAAAGGCATTTCTTGATGCAAAGGAAAGGTGAGAGCTCTTAATTCTAAAGCCTGGATTTTTTACATAAATTTGTAAAAGCATATTCCTAACTAAAACAAGATGGTTTCTTTTCTAGAAGTGATCACAAAGACATGATGGAGGAAGTGGGAGACAACCAGCAGTCCGGGTATTCGCAGTGTATGTTTTCCTTCATTCTTCATCATGAGCATAACTTTGATTTCTTCCATCTCATCTGTTAAACAAAACTCTGGGAGGTGTTTTGCTGTCTGGCTTGTTAGTTTGTAGGCAGAATAATATTCCTAATCCTTATGATTATGGTTCATGCAGGTTTATGATTGCATAAACATCACAATCTATGTTTGTGTGGTCTTAAGACTTCTGTATTACATTCGCAGTCAGTTCATAGAAGCTTGCAGTTACCTACATGTCTAAAAAGACAGCTGCCTCTGTATACAAGGACAAGAATATTCATATGGATATGGAGACAAAAGTTTATTTCCAAGTACAGCAGAAAATCATTGAGATAGTACTTATGTTTTGAGTACTTTAAAAAAATAAGGGGCATTTGCTTAAAATATTTTGTTTTCAGATGGATATGAAGCATTAGTGTTTTCATGATTTCTGTTTTAACAGTTTATTGCAAAAAATGTGTGCAGCCTATAAAGGGGAGAATTTGAATTGCAATAGGAATTATTTTGTTTCGGTGAAAATACTTCAGTTTTAAGAGTTCTTCTTAGCATCTTGAGAAACCTCAGAGCTTAGCTATAGAGAACCCCGTAGAGCAATTTAAAACTGAAAATTACACTTAACAATTACTGAGCACACACTACCTATGTAAGGGAGGGTTTAACCCTTTCAATGTTTCCTTGCTGTGATTGTAATCAGCTAGTAGTTTTAAAAAAACATGTTAGTTTGTCATGGGGCATCTTCTAAGCTGTTGTCTAATTTTCCTCCATAAGATCATGTAAGAAACTTGTAAAGATCCAGTTTGCAGCCGTGTTGCAACTGTTGCTTTTCCTGAATGCACGTTTCCTCACTGGTCAATTATTTTCTCCTATGAGGAAATGCTGAGAGAGTTGGGGTTGTTCAGCCTGAAGAAGAGAAGACTCTAGGGAGACTTAAAAGGGCCTGTAAGAAAGATGGGGAGAGACTTTTTAGCAGGGCCTGTTGCAAACAGGATGAGAGGTGATAGTCTTAATGTAGAAGAGGGGAGATTCAGGTTGGATGGAGGAGAAAGTTCTTTACAATGAGGGTGGTGAAACACCAGCACATGTTGCCCAGAAAGGTGGTAGATGCGCTATCCTGGAGATATTCAGGGCCAGGCTGTCTGTGGTTCTGGGCAGCCTGATCTGGTTGAAGATGTGGCAGCTCCTTGCAGGGAGTTTGGACTAGATGACCTTTAGGGGTCCTTCCAACCCAAACTATTCAATGATTCTGTGAATAATTTATCTCATTGCTGTGATTCTTTCCCTGTCTGGCTGCATTACATCCCCATCTTACAAACCTTTTGCTTCCCCACAGTGGGTAGTTGGCTTATTCCTGGGACTGGGGCTCTGTGCCCACCTGCCAATCCTCACCCTCAGTTTGGAGCCCCCCTGTCGCTCTCCCCTGCTCACAGCTGTGAAAGGTACTCATCGCTGAGGAACCACCGTCCTGCCCCCTACCCCAACCCCTACACCCATAGAAACAACTCGCCAAGTAAGTCCAATGTTGCAGCTCTGTAAAGAGATGGGAAATGAGCTGAGGGATGTGAGCTTTGAGCAGTGGGCGTCTTGAGCCATGCCACAGAAATTGAGGTTGCTATCTGGCTCAGTTTGTGCAGTGGGCTTGGGGCCAGCATTGCAAAGAAATAGGGATGATGTGTACATGTCCCCAGTCTCTTTATGGTGAAAAAACTGTGGGTGTGTAGAACTGTCTCCTGCTAATTAGTGATTTGTGCTGGCTTTATCTTGTGCTTTTGAATTCCTAGAAGCAGTGAGCTTAAACTTACTTTGCCTATTTTTTATTTAAGTTTGAAAGTGAGTATATTAGTCATTATTAAAGGTAACATAATGATGGGATGAAGTGTATGTCTGGTTCTGTCAGTCTCATTTACTAGTAACACATAATAAATGAGTGCCTGGTTCTGTCAGTTTTACTTGCCGATTGCTGTAGTTAACATCAGTGCATTAAGGCTGCACTCGGTGAATGTGTCAAAAATGGATATGCAGAAACAATATGGAGCTGAGTAAACTGCAGAGCTATTTAAAAGTTGTGCTCAGGTACAGCCAAATAGCTTAAGGCTTAGGCATAGATACTTAAGGGAGGGGAGATTTTTAAGAGTGAGTTTGTTTTTTTTCTCCTTTCTTTCTTATGGTAAAGGTCTGTGACCATTTTTATCTTTCAGCTTGTATGGATATTGGAGAGGCCCGTTTAAAAGAAATAGTTAATATTTTGAACTGTGAAGTAATACGCAGGGCTCCAGACGCAGGCTGACCAGTCTTCTGGGCAGCTTTGTAGTTAATTTTAAGTGAAAAACTAGCTTTCTGTGGAATTTTCTTGCACCTTGGAAATTGTGAGTTCTGGGACTTGAAGCAGAATAAAAGAATAAAACGCCTCTGGTGTTCCTTCTTGTTCAGTGGTCCTTAGCAAGGAACCTCTTCTCCCTCCTTAAGCCAGCTGCCACAGCAACTTCTTTCTCACTTTTACAAGATTCCCTTTATAGCTTCCTAGCACCTCTGCCACATTGGCCAGCTGGTTTTGGTCACAAGCTGAGTAGTTTAAGCCACAGTCCGATCACTCCTGATGGTGCTTAAGGCAAACTCCAGAGCCTGTGATGTCATGCTCAGCTCAAAACTGGGATGTGTGATCCAGGGATGTGCTTGTTATCCAGGGCTGCCAGGCTGTTACTGCCAGTGTAGATGATGGAGATAAAGAAGGTGCCCCGGAAAAGTGACTGGGACAGTGCAAGCAGGGAGCCTGCCTCTTCCCACTGACCAAAGAAGGGAAGTATATGATGAATTAGCAGGTGGTTTGAGACAACTTTTTTTGCCATAGATCCTTCATAGAAGTAAGGCTTTGCAAGTTGAGCAAAATAACACATCAGCAGGGGCAATGCCAGGGAGTGTGTAAGCTTGACACAACTGGTAACTGGCATAATTTTTCTCTCAGTGTATGTGTGTATGTAACTTTGGGTTTTGTTTTGCAAGGCAGCAATAAGGGAGTGTAATTTAAAGCTATACATTACATTTGAATACAAGGTCATTATTTGTTCTGATTCTAGTGTGTTTAAATGCTTGCTTATTTTTCTCAGCATCCTATGCCGATAACTCCTCTGCCTGCCTTTCCGTGCTGCAGTCCCATGACAACTGGTCTTCTTTAGGAGTTCCCACACACACAACAATGCTGCCCATGAGTCACAGCACTGGCACTGCCACCAGCTCCAGGTAGGAATCCAACCCTTAGCAGCCCTCAGATTGGTGTATTGGCACTTTGTAGGAAGAGAAGGCTGAAAAAGGAGGTAGTCACCAGCAAATTAGAAATCTTTATGGCCATGTGGGTGTGTGAATCATTAGCTACCTGGGGGGCACTGAAAAAGACTATTCACAAGGAAAACAGATTGAAGAAACAGATAATTCTTATTTTTGTATTTTAGTTTTGGAAATGTAGACACTTGTGACAGCAAGATTTGGTAAATTAAGGATTATGAATCACTTAGACAAATATCCGTTGGTGCTCTTTTAGGTTACATCTCCTTCAAGCAAAGTGGTGTTAAAGTTTAATTTTGATCTGTTTCATTTTAGGCAGTCACTGCTTTCCCAGCCATCTCCACAAGCTCTTGTGTTACAAATGAACTGTAGTGTGGAGAAGGAGTAGACAGTTGGGGCACTAGATCTTTACGCAATAATTGCCACACAAACTAGCATTGTATGGGATTATTCACATGGTGAAAGCCTTTGCCACTTTGTGATCTTTTCTCCTCTTTGTAATTGTCTTAAACTTTTGTATCCTTTAGCAGAGATTTAGCTTACAGTCAGTCCTTTGGAGCTAAATTGGAAAATGCAAAGAGACACAGATAAGGTGGTAAAATCTTTGGTATTAACCACAGAGGGCTGAGGTTTGGGCATCTTTCTCAGCAATTCAGACTGTGGAAAGCATTTTCATTTAACCATGCACATGGCATTTAGCTGCGAATCACAGTATGTACTACTTTTACCTGATATAAGGTAACTGTATTACTGGTCGTAAGTTTTACTTCTAGATATATATTAATCAAGTAAACAGGTCCTTCTAGCACTTCTTTTTATGTCTGACCCCCAGAATACACATTTGGAAAGTTGCAAAGTCCACTGGGTTTTAGTTACTGACTGAGTTGTCTAGTAGGTAAAAACAATAGATCTTGAACTGTGGGACCCCAGGGAAGGCACTTCTGCCACCCCTTGTGCTAAACTCCTATCTGTAAAGTAAAAATAATATATATCTTTCTTGTTAAACTGCTTGGGATCAATAGGTAGAAAGTGGTGTGTAGTATTACATGGCAGGGCAGAACTTTTCCTCATAGTTTCTTTTGCATCACCTTGTTTCTTTTAATTTATGTGTTTATATGTATGTGTGTATGTGTATACATACTTAGAGGACAGAGTAGAGGCTGTAGTGTCCTGGCAAGGTTTTTTTTTCTTTCAAGCTGCCCTTTTATGTAGTATCCATGCAATCTGCAGCCATCAGCCTGGCTCTTCCCCTTTTAACATGAGATCATCAACAAGGAGGGCTGAGTTGCTGTCTGGAGGCATTAATCCCTCTCTGTCTGTAGAGGCACCCAAGGGCTCTGACAGACTCATGGCAACGAATTCAAACCTGCCTTTCTTCCAGCAGGCACCGGAGTCACTAACAACTTGTTTTATTTACCACTTTCCCTCTTGCAGTCAGTATCCAAACCTATGGTCTGTGAGTAACAGCACCATCACGCCGGTGTCTCAGTCAAGTGGGATGTCCAATGGCCTGAGCTCCCAGTTCCTGCGTGGCTCTCCAGCACACTACACTGCCCTCCCTCACCCAGTCACTGCTGCCTCCTCTGCCTCCCCGCTGTATGACGGTGGGCCACCCTCCGACCTGCCTGATAGCCAGTATGATGCCTCAGCACATGCCAGGCTGGCATCCACGTGGACACCCGTCACCCCCCCTTCCATGTAAACCCAGGCTTTTTCCTATAACACAGACTTTTTAGCTACTGAGTTACTTTAAATGTTTAATCCTTAAGGAAGAGTAACAGGAAGCATGAAGAGTAAATTACAAAGCATCTGCACTGCTTTGCATAAAGGATCTACATTATACCTCTTCTAGTGCACAGTACCTCATTGACTTCATGTAGAGTTTACAAACCTCGTGAGCGTGCAATTCTGAGAGCAGATTCACTGCTTTTAATCTTTTTATTGCTTTTTGTTTTGTTTTTATTTTTAACTTTGATAGACCTAAGTTTTAAGATTTTAACTTAGATTCCAAATCTCTCAGTGTTCTGATAACTTCTGGACCTGAAGTTTGGCATTGTTCTTGAGTAAGTTGCTCCTAACTGTTTTCCAGTTAAATTTTTGTAATGGCAATTTAGCTATAGTCATGAGAAGACTTTCATTGACCTTCTAGTTAGAAGCATTCTGAAATATGCACAAATGTAGCTGATGAGTGAAGTTTTTTGGAAAATCATGTGCACTAACACGTATTTGCTTTACAAATATGTGGCGTTCTTAACTGTATGCTTATTTCCTTGCTGCTGAATTAACAAGACAATCTGCAAGAGCTATATTCTTACTAATAAATGCAGTATTAAAATTTGTCCTAAATTCTTGTACACAGAAGACTACTTTTAGAGATAAGTTGTGCTGTTTGATCGCATAAACTTCAAATATATGATTTTAGCTAAACATTTAATTTCAAACAGCCAGTGTCTAATTAGGAGCCCTATCCTAAACCTTTTTGAGCCACTGAAAAAACATCACTCTTTTTATGGTCTCTGGCTCAGGCCTTAAGGGAGGGAATTCAACACCTGGAGAATCATTCTAATTTATTTTATTTCAGTGTTGTACCCTGTTGATCTATATTTATTATTTGGTAAGTTACAGCTTTAATTTCTACATGGTAAGATATGTAAATAAACCCTCAACCTATGCTGTACTCCTTTAAGACAATCATGTGTGGGATATGTCACCCAATGGCACACTGAACAGCACAGATGTAAGTAGTTAACTTATTGTAAGAGGAAAATCTCTAGTTACTAATAATTGGGGCCGGGTGGGGGGGGGGGGGGGGAGGAGTGCAGATATACTAAGCTTTAAAACACACTGACTTCTTGACTCGCGGGAAAAATCATGTCTTGATAAAATACTTCTTTCAAGACTCATTAAGTAATATGACAAATTTCTAATGCAGGCTAACCCAGCACATCGGTTCAAAGTGTGCCTTTGGATATGTCTCTTTGTGCCACTGACTCTAGCAAGTACATATCCTGAGGAAAGTGAATTGTTTTGCATAAGCCATAATAAATAATTTTTCTAATGAAGTGCCTAATATAGGAAAGCAAATTTCTATATCAGGGAATTCCTTGAATGGCTCATTGACATGCGCTCATGTGCTACAGTGGCAGCTTTAAGATGAAAAAGCAAGTATTTGCCACCATTTTGGTCTCTTTGGCACCCTATGGAGGTCCCTGCACCTAGAAAGACTCTGGCAGGGGTTTCTCCCCACAGAAGGATTTGCGTGCAACTGCAGGCTGGGGTCTCCTGGAGGCATTCCAGCAGGGGACAGCATAGGAGGCAGATGGCTGCACCACCACGTTCTCTGTCAATATGTAAATACTGATCTAAGCGCTCCTATTTTATTGTGAAGGTAAATGTGTAAATGATGTAAGTGCATTATTACACAGACTATGTTTTAGAAATTAGTGACATGTTTCATTGTGAGTTGTTTGGGTTTTTTATTTGTATTTCGGAAGTATAATTTAAATTAAAAAAAGAGGAAAAAAAAAGAGTAAAGATTCTTAAATGAACTTGGTGCTCAGTTTTCAGTTTGTGGGGGTGGTGGGAAAGGTGAAACAAATGCACATCAGATGGTAGGTTGACCTTCCACGGAAAGGTTTCACAAATGGTTCCTGCTGCACAGTGTCTTCCAGCTGTGGGCGAAGGGTGAGAGAGTCCTTCATAACCAAATTAATGATTGTTTATCATGAAGAACTTGGAGATATCTTCAGATGCTGCATTCTCCTCATCTGCTTCTCCACCTCTTATTTCCCACCCCCTTTCCAGTCTTAACCATTCTATGATTCTATGTTCCCTTGCATGGCCCCTAGCAGGCAGCCCATGAGGAACTGTCTGCTCCAAAGAGGCTTGCATGGAGGACAGCCCACAGCTGATGTCCAACACAGAAGTCATCAGTTTCTCAGGTTCTTACAGAGCTTGTACTGAGTAAATGATTGTCATGTCCATGTGGATAGAAATGGCTGTGGCTATTTATTAAATTACAAGGTTTAACTGGGGCTTGCTGAACTGACCTGAGGGCAGCTGGATCCTTGTGGCTGTGAAGTGGAGGAGCTTGGTCCCTGTTTCCTGCCAGACCTTTATATATGGCCTTAGAGGCCTCTGTGACACTGTTTTAGTGTGCACTTAATCCTGACAGGAGCTTTCCAATGCCTGGAACCGCATTTGATGCTAACCTGGGAGTTAAATTCTAGGTCCTGAAAGAGTTCAGCTTTTAGTGCGAGAGAACTGAACTCGCCTCACCTCTGCCTAGTGAGCAACCCTGGCCATGTCACATGGGTAACTTATCTGCTGGTCAATACTTGTATACATGAACCAAAACCAGATAACCATTAAAATAATCACTTTGAAAGGATTTCTGAGCCAGAAGATTAAGCACACACACAAGGCCTTTATAGAGGCAGCATTGTATGCCTCCAGGCAGCAAAATACTGCTATCGGATGGATCTTACCTAACTGGCTTTTTTGGTGTGGGTTGTTTTCCCTTCCGTACTTTCAAATTAAAGAAACCAAAACCTTTCATACCATTGAATGCAAGCTGCATACTGCTTTAAAGCAGACTGAGCATTTCATCATGTGTATTTTCACACCTGCTCTGCCACCATCTTCTTCCTGAACTGTACTTTTTCTTACTTGGTTTGTGTGGCCAAGCAGCCATCAAAGGCACCTCAGACTCACAAATGCCGTATCAGGATTGCAGCTGCTAGAGGAGCTGGGCAGTCAGACCCAGATCATTACAAATAACCCAAGCCAGCGTGAAACCCACATGGACTTTGTGTGACTCACCTGGAGAGGCTTTTCTCACCCATGGATTCACACAGCAGTGCTGTGCTCCCACCGCTTCGCCCACTGGTGCCACCCCTGGGGCTGATGGCAAAGGTGAGGTGGAAGCACAAAGGTACCCGATGTTTCCACATGCTGAGGAAGGCTGGTGTGAGACAGCTCACCTCACCCAGCCCATTGGCAAGCTCTGCAAGAGCTCAACCACAGCTTTTCCCCACTGCTATGACCATGCAGCATGCACCCCCCAAATACTACAGACAGCTCTGAGGCTGGGAGAAGGACTAAGCTATCAGCAAATGCTCAGCACTTTTAGGAAACCTATATTGTTTACTATCTCAGCATGTTAATGCTTTTTTCCTTTCTTCATTTTTCTTTGGGTAACAAATAGTTGCCATCTGCAGAGTTCTCTGTAGACCCCTCAGCCTTATTGTCTCACTCTGTCTACAAGAGCCATGTGAATACTCAGTCCCACACAGGAGTAAAACATGAGACTAGGTAATCCCACACTTGTCTCCAGCTGGACCCTTCCCCACAGATGTCAATGAGAGTTGTGAGTTAAGTAGATAATACACACTAAGCTACTGCATTACTGTCCAAGCAGTAAATGTAATTATATTTGAAAATTTAGTTTTTAAAAGTAAATAAAAATTAAAAATAACTAAAATAAACAGTAAAAATTTATAAAAATAAAATAGGCAGGTGTAAGGAAGACAATCAGCAGGAACGCTGTGGTTTTGAAATCTCATGCAGACCCATTCCAGTGTCTGCACATCATTTTAATTCAGAAGCTTAGATCTGTGGAAAAAATAATTTCCTCTGTCTTTAGCTGCTTCTGGATTTCTGTGTCTGTGGAAACTGATACAAATAAATCAGGGAAACCAGTCTGAGTGGTACATGATACAGTTCCACATATGCCTTCACATCTGACAACGTAAAAATTCCTTGAGAAGATGTTAGTAGACCCAAACCCCTGTTCTCCCACTGCACATACCACTGTGATATCAAGGACCTGGGCATCGTGGGCTTTAAAGGCCAAGGTTCTATGACTGGCTAGAGTTTGCTGAGCAAGCAGCTGCAGGATTTTTCTTGCCTTTTCCTCTCCCTATCTTCCTGCACTACAAAAGTAGGCTACTGTTTCTTGATGCTAGTAAACTAATTAACTGCCTCAGTCAGTCCATCAATGCCAATAATTCTTCTGTGATTTGCAATTACCAGACTTGTACCACATAGAGTTGGAAGGGGCCTCCTGAATCCAGTTCCTTAATTATAGACAATCCCTTCACTGAGACCTTTTAAGAGCACACCAGGGTTTGTCTCAAAAATAGCTGGTGAGATTTTGCGGCGATTTTTGTGTGCCTGTGGCTAGTAGAGCTGTTTATTTTGTTGGGAGACTGTTGCAGTCCCCTTGCTTCTCAGTGCTTAGGAGCTATCTTTTAATTGCCAGCTGAAATTTAGCTATAATCATCTTATGACTATCTGTTCTTGAGCCAAAAACCATTCCCAGCTTAAATAGTAGTTCTCCTTTGGTAGTGTTTAAGTTGATATGTATTGTTAGGTGGTGATTTCTCTGTCTCTCTTTTGATAGATTATTAAAACTCAGTCTTCTCTCAGGTAGCTTTCCCTCTCCTGCTGGCCCTCTGAGCCTCCATGGCTCAATGTAAGAGGGAGCATGAATGTACGTGGTATAATGCAGGGGCTTATAGGAAAGCCTATGCAATGGCATGCTGCTTCCCTATCTGCACTGAAATTAGCCATTTTCATAACTTTGAAAATCACATTTTCATTATCTAGAGTTACATCAGTGATTGACTGGTCATGGTGATCCAAGTCCTTTTTTTACTACTTTCTGCTGATGAAGTCCCATCTTTTGGCAGAAGGATTTACAACTAGTGTCTTGACTGTGATTTTGTCCTTGTCTCAGTCAGCTTTATTCTATTTCCATTGCTCCCCAGTTGTCTAGTTTGTCCTGTGAGGTATCTCTATTTTACTTTGCATTAATGACATCTCTCAGCCTCACCTGTCCAGCAGATTTTGTCAATGATCTTTTACGTTCTGGACTAAATCATCAATGAAAGTGGTAACTTGAGACTTGTCCAAATCCTCTGCTAGCGGTCTCTAACCTGACCCTTTCCAATAGCTATGCCCTTAGCATGCCTATAGACTTGCTCTTTTCCATTTGTGATTTTAGAGGATGGTCTCAGCCCTGTGCAGATTGGGACAGCATCTGCCCTGCTCACAATCACTTGTGAGGGCCAGATCTAGCAGGGAGAAATGGTGCTGTGAGAGAGATGCATTTCTATAAGGGCCTCTATAAAGTTCTGCAGACTGTCCTTGGCCCTGTTGGTGGCACATAAGGTTCAGAGGGTCAGAGAGGAGCTGCAACAACTTAATGCTCCAACTGAAGCCAGATAACAGTGAACCAACAAACCATACAGCTTCCACTTCCATCCTTACCCTTCATTATCCTTTCTTTTAAACTGTGGAGGGAAGCCATTTTTTCTGGAAGATGATCCTCCCAAAATCTGTCACATGTGAATGCATCTCTGCAAGTCTTGTCCTTGCTCAAGCAGCTTCATTCCCCCACCTCATGAAACACACCTCAGACATTTGCTGTTTGCTAAATGTGCAACACCAGGTCTCAGCTGAGGAATAAACATTTGCTGCTGGGTTGGGATTTCAAGTCCCCAAATTCTGGAACATAAATGACGCATTTATTCCCCAAGCTCAAGTACACTCATCTGCTTGAGCCTTGTTTGCATTTTAGGGGTGACCATTCCCAAGCCTTACATCCCATTAGCTTTTCTGCCTTTGCCTCTGCATTACAGCTCCTCCTCAGTGAGAACAGAAGCAAGCTAATGCATGCTTGTGAAAAGAAACCCTGTATTATCCTTAATTTCCATCATGCTGTAATGGCACAGCAACCCCACTTCTCTCCATGCTTGGGGCTGTGGGTTTCTCTGGTCCTT